AGTTGACTTAAGTTTTTTTCTAATAATTTTTTTATTGATTCAACTTTAGCCTATTTTCATGTTTTTTTTAAAAAAATTATTTTTCTTTTATCTTAGTCTCATATCAAGTGTTGTGTGTTAATAAAATTAACTCAGATTGATACAAGGTTTTTTCTTTGATAAACTTTTTAAATTCATCTTTTTTTAAAATTTCATTGTTGGACAAAAGATTATTGGACTTTGAGCTATAAGATATTTTTTGCATTTTGTTTTACAGAGTTTTCTAGATTTTATATTTTGGTTCACGTATTAGTTAAATTATCTCAAGATAACTTGTGTTATTATCGTCTAAACCCTTTTTTTTTTTGTTATGTTAGGATAAGATTGACCTGACTCGTGGCATAACCTGAGCCACCTAGTTAACTCATATTTTTAGAAAAATTTTGAACAATATAAAATTAATAAAAAAAAGAAAAAAATTAGATTCATTAAAAAAATTCAATTAAAAAAGTTAAAGCATTATTAATAGTAAAAGAGCTATGCTCTATGTGATGTCGAGGGTAGTATAAAAAAGGGCTTTTAGTTAGAAGTTAGAATAAAATTTTAAATTGTGTTTATTTTTTAAGAAAATCTTTAAAATACAAGAATTTATAAAATCTATATTGATAATGTAATTTGATAAACTTTAATGGAACTTTGAATAAAATCTTTATTTAATGTACATGGTTAATGTGTGTTTATGACATATAAGCGGTGTTATTTAAATTGAAAATTAAATTTCATGATTTATTTTAGTTTAAGTTTGATAAAATTATCATGATTACAAAAAAATCATCACATTAAATTAATGATTAACTTTGCAAAAAATATCAATTAAAAATTAAAATTTTTAACTTGTTTTACTTGCTTTCTATAATATTATTATATTATTGTGATCGGAAAAAATAGTTTAATAACATGTTGATACTTGATTTTATAAATAAATTTAATTTTATTGATTGCAAGTGGTTTGTTTGTTTAGATTTTTTGATTTTGATTTTTATTTTTAATAACATATTAATTGAGAATTTAATTTTATATTTTTTTTTTTATTTTCAATTGTTCGTTTCCATTTCTACATTTAGCATTAATTAAAAATTTAACTTTATAATTTATAGTAAAGTACATGAATTTTTTATATTTACTCTCACGTTCAATTATTTAGTTTTATAGCTATCATACACGGTGCTGATTTCTTAAGCGTAGTGTATAATTGGGTCCTAAAATCAACTAGAAGTTGCCATGGGTGACTGCGGACACCACAATATTTTTCTTGAGTCTTCTATACTTGAAAAGAAAAAGGGAGAAGAAAAGAGGGGAAAGACAAAAAGCTCCATGGGAATGGCAGCTTCCTGGTAAAGGGTAAATCCCCACTCCCTCAAAAACAATAGCAAAATTAGTTGACGGATCATGGATGGTTATTAAAATCTCATTGACCTCTTTTATTGAAGCCCTACAAGAACAAAATAAAATAAAACACGGAAACCTAGTCAAATGCAATGCAAATGAGTGCAGATGCATCAAGGAGCCACATAGAGAATCTTCCTCTGATGTATGGGACCCGTCTTTATCTGATCCAATGAGACCTCGCAAAAGTTTTGTCTTTTTTGGTCAATTTGTCCACTTACCACCCACCACTCATCATGATTGACCCAGCCGACGGTTCCGATTGAAGGGTTTCCATCAATCAAATCAGAAGTGACAAACTAACGGTCCTGATTAGTGGGATTGATTTGGTTATGGTGACACTGTGTCCTCATTGCTAACTGAGACTTTTGCTGATATATTGATGCTGTTGGAGCACAGTTTTTCTTTTCCATTCTCTTTCTCAAAATAAATGGCGCAGCCAAGTTGAAGCAAAGGGTGTCTTGAATCTGGTGAGACTCGAGTTCTGCTGCTTCTCTTTGTTTTTGTTTTATTGAAAGGTTGCTGCTTTTTATCGCTTCTTACAATTACATGTCTTGTGTTCGTTTGTTTTGGTCTCAAGTTATAAGCTTTTTTGATTTAGGGTCTTGAATAAATGATTGGATGTTTTGATTTGTGCTTGCTTTAATGGTTTGCATAAGAGTTTTGGAATGGTATTTGGGGAATTGGGTAACTCATTGGATTGAAAAAAGATGGGATTTTTAGGATGGATTAGGCTTTGTGTTGGTATAGATTCTAGTTAAGAGCTTCTTTTTTAAAAATAAAAAAAATAAAAAATAAAAGAAGAAGAGATCGAGGATCTTTCTTCAGTAAAGTTTTTTTTTTTTTTGTATCTGAGCTTAATAGAATTGATTATGGGTTAAATGGGAGAGAATTTGGATCTTGAGTTAGGAGTGAGGGGTTTGACTTTAGATGCAAAAAGTTGGGTTTTATTTCTGTCTTTGCATTGAAGGATGCTGATCTCATCAGTAAATGTGTGGAGGAAAATGATGTGTTGATTTTCTATTATGATATGGGAAATCGATAGTGTTTTTCAAAAACTACTGGTATTCAGGGGGGAAATGGTAATGAAAGGTTAATAGATTGGGATTTAGGTCTTGTATTTTTTGTTTAGAAATCAATTTTCCAAGTTCAGAAATTTATTTTATTGCGCACTAAAGCTTAGGATTTTGATGAAGATTTTCTAATTCCTCGCTTAAATTCCAGCTTTTTGTTAGCGTTGATCCACACATACTAAGAGGAGTAAATAATGGAACCTAAAGATAGGCTATCTCTAGATGCATGGGCAAATCCTTCATCCTCCAGTAATGGATTACCGAGAAAGATGGCCTTGGAAAATCCATCCTTTACCAATTTCAATTTACGGCAACAGGAGCAGAAATGGGATGACACCTCCATTTTAGATTATGGTATTAGGATTGAGCCACCTTTCCAAGAATTCAACCAAGCATCAGAATCTGAATATTTGCTTTCTTCCAACTGCAACAAGCAACCCAAAGTCCTGGATCAAGAAGATGGACAAGATAATGAGGCACTTCAAACAAGCAAATTACAAGACTGGGATCCTAGATCCATGCTCAATAATCTTTCTTTTCTAGAGGAAAAAATCCATCATCTCCGAGATTTGGTGCATTTAATTGTTGGCCGCAAAGGCCAGGCTCTAGGGGGACAGGATCAACTTGTAACTCAGCAACAACAGCTCATAACTGCTGATCTTACTTCAATAATTGTTCAGCTGATCTCCACTGCAGGTAGTCTTCTCCCATCTGTGAAACATACACTTTCTACGGGCACTCCTAATGGACAGTTTGGACAGCTTGGGGGGCTTCTTTTTCCTCCTTTAGCTGGCATGAACTGTGTTCCACAGCCGCAACATGGTAGTGGAAGTAAAGTTTCTGATCAGTGCAACCAGATGGATGTTACAGGAAATTGTGGGACTGAACAGAACCACTCCACTGAAGAACTTGAAATGAAAGAGGAAGAAGATGCTGATGAAGGAGAGAACCTTCCGCCTGGTTCCTATGATATATTACAACTAGAAAAGGAAGAAATACTTGCGCCACACACCCACTTTTGCACAATATGTGGGAAGGGGTTTAAGCGGGATGCAAATTTGAGGATGCATATGAGAGGCCATGGTGATGAGTACAAAACCCCAGCTGCACTTGCAAAACCCAACAAAGAACCCAGCTCAGAACCAGTGATTATTAAGAGGTATTCCTGCCCTTTTGCTGGTTGCAAGCGAAACAAGGATCACAAGAAGTTTCAGCCTCTGAAGACTATTTTGTGTGTCAAAAACCATTACAAGAGAACCCATTGTGACAAAAGCTACATTTGCAGCCGATGCAACACCAAGAAGTTCTCAGTTATGGCAGATCTCAAAACTCATGAGAAGCATTGTGGGAAGGATAAATGGCTTTGTTCCTGTGGCACAACATTTTCGAGGAAAGACAAGCTTTTTGGACACATTGCTCTGTTCCAGGGCCATACTCCTGCTATCCCTCTTGAGGAAACTAAAGGACCTCATGCGTCATGTGATAAAGTGGATGGGAATGAAGCATCAAATAAGGGTGGAAACACAAATTTCAGCCTTGGCTTCAACGCTGGTAGCGGAAGTGGGGTTCAAAATGTTATCGAAGTAAAGGAGGATGCTGATGATCCTGCTAGTTATTTCTCACCATTGAGCTTTGATACGTGTAATTTTGGTGGATTCCATGAGTTCCCTCGACCCCCATTTGATGATTCAGAAAGTCCATTCTCCTTTCTTGAAGCCCCGTGATACTCCTTGTCATATATGTAAGGTGCATGTAATTTCATGAGTTAAAATAAATGTTTGTTCTTTAGCCATTTCCTTAGAGGTAAGTTCTAATATTTCACTTTATCAAAGGTTCATTCCACTTGAACCCCATGATATTTCAACATCAAAATTAGTTTAACAATATAGACATTTCTGGTAGTTTTTGATATTATAAGATACACTAGTGGTGAATTTGGAATATGGACTTTATCAAAGGTTCATTCCACCTGAACCCCATGATATTTCAACATCAAACTTAGTTTAACAATATAGAAATTTGGAATTTGGGGCCTTTTGCTGTTGGTGTCTTCACTGTCTAGTAAACAGCATTTTGAGAGGCCCAGAAATTTTCAAATCTGGTTTTTGAAGCTGAAAGCGAGAAACTATTGGTGTGCTGGTAGAACGGTTTTGGAAGGAGTAATTTCTTGGCAGCAGTGGTTGCTTCCAGGCCTGTTATTAGTCTTACAAACAGACGATGCTACCCACCCCACCCCACTTTACCCTTTTTCTTGTTTCTTCTTCCAGGCTCATCACTTCAAATAATTCCTTGACAAAGTAGCTTTCGATGTAAATATTGCCAGCCAACCAGCACTTTCACATCACAACTTGTGACATTGTTCAGGAATCTGGGAATAAAGCCAATACATAATAATGCCAATACATAATAAATTATGTATTGAATAAAACCAAAATATAATGAATCATTAAGAAGCCAACAATTGCGGTTAAAGTTGACACAAATCATTAAAAAAAACTTTATGAAATAATGAGAGCAACTGAGTGGCATGTTGCTGAGATGCTATTTTCCTCCTGGAAGGATCCTGTCCATGATGGCTACATGTTAGATAACCCCAAATCCAAACACGTGTTTTATGGGAAAAATATAAAAATGTGATGTCAATCCCACTAAATTACGATCAAACTCAAATCTCTTCACACAGCAAATAAATCTGCTTCATCTCAAGGGATTTCATTTAGTGAGAAAGATGATGTTGAAATCCCAGTCACCACTTTTCATCATACTAAATAGAAAAACTTATCGTTCAAAAGAACTGCTATTTGATGTTCTCCAAGACCAAAAAAGTGGTCAGCAGACAACTCAACTTTACCATTGAATTGCTAAAAGAACTAAAACAAGTATCTGTTTCTGAACAAACTACATTGTTCTGACTGACTGATCTGCCCGTACTGAGAATTATGAAGCAGAATGAGCTTCAAGCCCTTTGCACCTTCTCCTTTAGATGATTTCTTTGAAGGGCTTCGGTAATACCTTTCCTTCAAAACTAAATCGTCCGAGACAGACCAAGTCTGTCCTCTAGGAGAGCTGTCAGCCCACAAGAACCTCTCAGAGAAGGGGTTCACCAGACTGTCACGACATTCCTTGGCTGTCTCACAAATCAAACCCTGAAACAAACACAAATACATTTTCATTTTCTAGATTAAGAATACGGAGACAGGGAGAGTTGATAGCAACGTACCTCTGACATGGCTTTGATCTTCAGGGTAACGTCATTAGTTAGAAGGATGAGATGTCCATTTCTATTCATTTTCCTATAGGAAAGAGCATATTCAAGGATATGATCTTCCGCTGTTGGTGAAACAATTTCTAGAAAACTTCCATGAGCTGGAAACGGAACTGAGCTTCCTGTCCCACGCGGAAACCCTTCACTTCCCTGACTGAATCGTGACTGCGGAGAAGCAGGTGGGGTTGGTGCTATGTGCCTTCCCTCCTCCATTGAGCTCTGGACATGAATCCACCATGGTGTTCTCACCATACACTCTTCTATCCATTCCAACACCAATGATGCCTCCATTTTTTTTCTAAACAAGCTACTACGACGCTTCAAACAATCTAGTTCCCTTATCACTGATGTTATAGAACAGACACCGATATTTGTCGGAAAAGAAATTTAGTAACATATAGCTTACAATTTAGAACAGCAAGAGAGATGATATTGAAAATTGTTCAAAATTTATTTACCCATTTTTGGAATGACCAAATGAGTCCCCTTGAGACCTTGTAAAAGCTGTAATGACTTCCTTGACTCCTTGTCCACAAGAGAAGCTGTATCTGTCACCATAGTCCATCTTCTCTTACCATCTCCAGTGAAGTTACTCTGCAAATGAACTCCATTTATTAACCCTAGTTTACAGGAGCGAAATGTTAAACTTAAAACAGAAGAGAGGTTATTCACCGTCCGCATAATTTGAGAACAATTAACAGAAATACTGCTTCTTGTAGCATCATTAGGGACTGAAGCTTCAGAATTGCTATTTCCTGAGAAATTCACAAGTAAAGATTGTAGTGGAACTCTTTCTGCCTTACTCTCCTCTAGTACCATCTCTTTCTTGAATTTCACTTGATTCCTTGAAGCTGATATAGCTAATTTTGTTTGTTGGAGAACTTTTGGTGCCTGGTTCTCTTTATCTGGAGAGGCGATCATCTCTTCTTCTGGTTGCTTATAGGGACTAAAAGCAATTTTTGAAGAGGTTGATCTGCGTGATTTGGAAAGTTGCGTTTCTTCTCGTTTACCCTTCTTTTTCAAGGACTTAAGCAGAAGAGTATTTGGTGAGTAATTCTCCTTGCCTGGGGTAAGGACTTCTTCTGCTGCTTCTGAACCAGGGAAAATAGTCTTTGAGATTGATATATTCTCAGTATTCTCCTGGTTCTCCCATTCAACATCATCTCCTCTATTCTTTTCTCTACTCCTACTTGTTTGAAGCTGAAGAACAGCTTTGGGTTTACCTCTTCTTGACCAGATGTTACGAGAGCTCTGTTTTTTCTCTGATCTGACGTGAGAGCTCTGTAAGTTCCCCTGGTTTTCAATTGAAGCAAGTACGGATTGTGGGGTCTGGCACTTTTTGCTATCTATGATCTCAGAGAGGAGTCCTGCAGGCAAAGATGAGCTCACAGATTCCGCTGCGAGGAGCACAGAGCAGATGCTGGCGTATTCACTCTGCTCATGGTCATCCCTTGAAAGATTCTGGTTTTCCACTTCAAGCATGTCAGCATCAGCATGGTCATCAGAACATGAGGAGTTCAGGTTTGCCAGCAGATTTGTAGTGAAATTCTCTTGGGTTCCTTCTTCATATGTTGGGTCTAAAGCAACAGCATGGTCATCAGAACATGATGAATTCAGGTTCTCCAGCAGATTTACAGTGAAATGCTCTCGGGTTCCTTCTTCATATGTTGGGTCTAAAGCAACAGCATGGTCACCAGAACATGCAGAATTCAGGTTCTCCTGCAGATTTGCAGTGAAATTCTCCTGGTTCCCTTCATATGTTGATTTTAAAGAAACAGCTTGGTCATCAGAACATGCGGAGTTCAGGTTCACTAGCAGATTTGCTGTGAAATTCCCTTGGTTTCCTTCTTTATATGTTGGTTCTAAAGCAACAAGATGCTCTAGAGTCTGGTTTTCTTTTCTGACTTTTTTACTGTCATTATCTGAAAGATCTTTTACAGGCAAAGACAACTTCACCATTTCTATCCCATGAGAGAAGATATTAATTGGTTCATGGCCTTTGCTCAATAAGCTTCCATTTTCTGTTGCTCCTAGCATCTCAGGGGCTGACTGAGATTCCACTTCTGCAGTGGACAAGGAAGAAAACACAGCATTGGATTCTCTGATCATTGAACTCCCTTTGGTTTCTGTCTCCGGCAGTTCTTGTCGAACAGAAAAATATTCAGGGCTCTGGTTATGTCCATCATATTGCCGACACTTAGTTTCCGAAATAACTCCCTGGACAGCTGTGGGGCTTAATATATCCTTCACATTATGGTCATTTCTGAATGACATTTCTATATCTTCATTTGCATCATAAAACAAAGAATCCATGCTTTCATCAGGCACTAAAGCAGCTGACGAGATCTCTTTCTTTGCAATTGACTCCCAAATCTCCTCACAATACAAGTAGCCTACATCCTGTAATATTAAATCCAAAGACTTTGTTTCTCTATTTTCAACTGATGTAGAATCCATGGCCTGCACAAAAGACACAACCAAGAAAAATTCATAAATATTAATCAATTGAATTTTCTGCTGTACCACTTATCCACAATTTGGTCCGCTTCAACCATAATTTCTCACCTGATATCTTTCATCATCTTTTCCTGCCACTTCCAGTGAGCCTTTCTCTTCAACAGATTCTCTTTCAGTTGCCATTAAGTTCTCATCCTATACGATCCCAACACAAAGAAGGTAAAAAAGAAAGACATAAATAAGTAATATTTCAAGAAAAAACATCAGTCAACGATTAAACTGCCTCAACAATCAACTCTGGATTCTCATCAAACAAATTGTAAGAACAAAATTTGAGAGTAACTTGCAAACATCAGGTGGATATTCTAGATAAATACAAACTAAGGCATGATTCTCTCACCTGAGACATTTTCGCCTCATTTTCTTCTTCAAGCACTGGATCTTCCTCTAGCTTCTCTTCAATCATTGCCATATCTAATGGTGATATAAATGGGGTTTCCATATCATATGCACGGCTCAAAGGAACCCAGTGCAGCCTGTAGTACCTAGTTGAGCCACCAACCCTTATTGTATCACCTTCATTGAGCTCTACACGAAACCCCGGCTCAATCTTCTTCCCTGAAACCCAAGTCCCATGGACTATACAAGAAACAGGAACCGATCAAAAACAAATTAAAACCCAATTTGAGGGTGCCCAAAATTAATGAGAAAAACATATATAAAAAGAATCGAATAAATCAAATAACAACTCAATTGTCACATACTAAACAGTAATTCAAGAAAGAAAAAAGAAACTATAAAAACCAAATCCAGTGACATTCTAAGAGCAAGAGAATTGACTAAAAAAATAAGAAAAGCAATAAAGCAACCCATCAAGAAGAAGAAACCCGTAAAATGCAAATTCAGTGACATCCACCCTAAAAGTACATAATAACGAAACCAAATAGAGCTAAATATAAACCCCGGCTCAATCTTCTTCCCTGAAACCCATGTCCCATGGACTATACAAGAAACAGGAACCCATCAAAAACAAATTAAAACCCAATTTGAAGGTGCCCAAAATTAATGAGAAAAACATATATAAAAAGAATCAAATAACAACTCAATTGTCACATTCTAACAGTAATTCAAGAAAGAAAAAAGAAACTATAAAAACCTAATCCAGTGACAAACCAAATAGAGCTAAATATAAACCAAGAGCACGTATCCTATTAAGGCGTAGTAATACAAGAAAACATCAACCAAGAATCCATCAAAAACCTGATTCAGTGATAATCTAAGAGCAAGAGAATTGACTAAAAAAATAAGAAAAGCAATAAAGCAACCCATCAAGAAGAAGAAACCCGTAAAATGCAAATTCAGTGACATCCACCCTAAAAGTACATAATAACGCAAGAAAACATCAAGAATCAAGAACCCAGTTAAATGATCACACAAAAATGTCATAGAACAGAAACAAATTTAGCCTAACAACATATAATCACGCAATTTTCAAACAATTAAACAAAAGCCAAGACAGGAATGAATGACATCAATAGACCATGAAAAACAAGGAAAGCCCACTAAAATCTACAGTGAAACTAATATAAAGGAAGAAAACTGAAATTACCAGAAGATAAATCTGTGACAAAGAGCTTCTGTGAAGAGGGTCTTGAATTGATTTGAAGGTGGAATCTGCTAATGCTAGGGTGATTTAAAACAATATTGCAATCTGGGTGTCTACCAAAAGTCAAGATTTCTTCAGTTTCTTGAACTGGGTTCTCTTCATTTTCAATGGACGGCTCTGAAGATGTTGGTGAAGGTAATGGTGACTTGTCGATTACAAAAATGTTCTTGAGAATTGCACCGTTCCTTAGTACTGTAAAAACTGGGATCTTTCTCTCTTCTTCTTCAGGTTTTTTCTCTCTGTTGCTTGCCATTTTTCTTGGGGTTTAAGAAAAATCCCTCTTTCCTGGGTTTCTCGAGAGAGAAAGCAGAATCTTGGTTTTAAAGAAAGAGACAGGGAGGGGTTTTATATGGTTATCATGTGGTGATGGAGAGAGGAACTTCGATTTTGAATTTTCATTTCGAAAATGGTGACCGTTAGGGTTTCTGGTGTGACTGCAACGGCTATTTATCTCCTTGCCATGTTGGATTGTTAAAGATTAGTCATTGCTGGTGTTATTGATGATTGTTGTTTAAACCGATCGTGGGCGTACATATGGCAAGGTGAGGTCAACGATGTCTTTTCAAGGAGGGAAGAGAAAGCCGTACTTTCTACGTGTCATGGTCTGAGAGGCTAGACGTTATGGTATTGTGGAGGTTGTGCACAGTTAATCCACGTGTTCCTACTTTTATGGGTACATTGCCTGTTGGTAAGAAAAACATAATCTAGGGTTCCATATCCAAATGCATGTTTATTATCATTCAAAATATAAAATTTTAATAACCCGGCAATGGTCCTATGATTAAGCTTCTCTTGTAAGGATTCAATTCTCCTATTAGATAAAATAAAATAAATTTAACTCACTCATTTGTATTTATAAAACTCAAACTAATCTAAAACTCGAACTTAAATCATCTTTAAATCTAAATCAATTTAATTTATAAAAAAACAGAATAAAAAAATATTTAAATTAATTTAATAAATTCACAACCTAATTTATTGAGATAAAACTCAACTCTCAACCCATAAATTTTTTTATATTAAAAGAATATCATTTTAATTAATTTTATCTTTTTTATATCAAAATAATATTATTTTAATTAAGATTATTTTAATTAAGTTTACCTTGAGTGATATTAAGTTTTATAACTATAAACCCAGAAAATACTAACTATTAACCTTTTAATATTAGAATTCAATCCTCATCTTAAATAGATTCAAGAAAAACTGAAATTTTTTTTGGATTAAAATGGATTCTTTCTCTATGAGAATCTTAAAACAGGAGGAAAAGGATCGATTTAGTATCAAAAGAAAGAGATAGCGGAAGGGGAGTTGCTTTCTTTCAATATCCACGCTCAAGGATGCCAGAGATAAAAGGGCAATCACAGAGAAGCAAGCTTTCGCAAGGTGTTTTCCTGAGAAATAGATCTCCAGTTATTTTCCTGGCATTCACAAGAAAGCAAAATATTCAAACATGGAAGTCCCATTCATGAGGCATGTCTTGTACACTGACCTTCCTTGTTATGAACTCACAGTTCTCGTTGCTAGCAAGGCCCGAACACCACAAAACCCAGGATAAGAAAATTTAGGACCCGAAATGATTCATGAATGGCTGCAAAGCATATCACAAGAGGTGTAATTGGAGTATTTTTAACTAAATGATCCACTGGACGTAAAATGAAGTAGTGCATAAGGCAGGATTGCACATCCCAAGTGATATTTTATACCATTAAAAACTGAAAAGAAAAAAAAAAATTGGCTCTTTAACCCCAAAACTGCCTCAAGGGAAGAAGTGGCTCTTCAATCTCTCTCACAGAGCACCAGGCAGGAGAAGATCAATCCTGCTTGTTGCTTTCACGAGCCAGCCTAGCACGATGTCTTAGCTCAGCCCTTTTCCAACGAACAATCATGTAACACAAGGAAAAGAGAGTGTTTATCTGCAAAGACATAATAGGGTCAGAACAAATTGCAGGAAATGAAGCAGACATAAAATGCAAGCAGATTAAAAAGGTGACTGCAAACACTCACCAGAATAATGGTTGCAATGATAAGAAGAGGCCCAGACCAGAGTACTGAAAGAAAAAGTCCATGTGGATCAAAGTAATTCTGGCTTGCAAAGCTCCTCCAGTTGTCACCCAAGACTCTGTTAAGCCTCTCTGATAGGTATACACCAGCCACTACATGACACCAAATGACTAAATAGGATCAGATATCCATGGATTTCTGCATTGAGCACGGAAGTTACAATAGAAGAACACATCAGTGAGTGTTGCATGAACTAGGATTCCGGAAGAGGCATTGACCTCACCCACAGCCCACAGAAATACAAGCTGATATAAATTTGACATTGGGGACTGAAATGATTTTTTAATTTTTTATTTGGCACTGTGAACTACAAGCAGCGGTTAGTCAACTGGTAAAAAATTGATTTTGGGAAACATGGAGTTGTGACCCAAAAAACTAGCTTTAAGTGTCTTTTATTGTCAGCATGAAGAGTTTAGGTGACATTTGTAAATCAACATTGAAATTAAGCACCTAATACATACATGAATCCAGATAACTTTTTGACTCCAAACATGGTTTTCATTTGAAGGCTCACGAAGCCCGTAACAGTAATTTTAGCTGTCTTACTTCCAACATCGCGACACAGACAATCAGAAACAATTAGTTCAAATTTCTAACATTTAGACACAACCACACACAGACACTCTTTTAATAAATTCTGCACATCCTCTTAGAATCATTTTGTAAAAGAAGTCTTTAATGATAAAGATTAATCCAAATTACGATTAAAAGTCCAGCTCTATAATAAGCTTCTTTACAAAGTTTCATTATCCTTATTAGATGGCAATACAATGCCCCACAATACTCATGCCAAGAGCACATTACTGAAAAGCTATTACTATTAAACTGTATTCCCATGTTCCACAACTAATACATTCAATGTGTTTTACACCAGTCCATAACTTCGGAAGACAAATTAGCTTCTATAAACTCATATAAGATAGTCGATCTTTTTTCTCTCACACATACATTGTTTTCTACACACATGCGCTGTATTTAAGCTACATTACTAGCAAATTCCAAAACATGTCATCATATAAGAACAAAGCAATTGCAATTGCAATTGCCATACACATCAAATCTCAAAATGTCCACCAAGGCCCAAAAAAGCTTAAGCCGCATTTTCAAAAAAAAAAAAAGAACAAGCTTTGATCTTGCATGGATAATTTACCTAAACTTCAAAAAAACTGACAACCCATTAGTGCATTCAATCCAAATTTACAGTGAAAGAAAAAGAGAGGAAGAAACTTACAAGCTAAAAGGAAAAAAGACATCTGGAAGTTAATATGTTTCCTTGAAACGACTGTTAGTATCAGCAACATCAAATGGAATCCTATTAAACCCATTAACCAAGGTTCCTGTCCAAAACAAAACAAAACAAAACAAAACTTCTTTTCAATGTAAACCCTAAAAATCTTTTCTTTTTTTAAAAAAAAAAGAGCAAAAAATGGGTACCGTCCAGTCAATGGCGTGGAAAAAACCGATGAAATTATCAATGGCGGGTCGGAGTCCGGATCGGAGCTCCGATGAGAGTTTCTGGACCAGATCCGCCATCTGGTCCATGTGAGCTTCCAATGCTGATTTCAGCTCTTCCATTTTCCTCTCTTCAGTCTTCTACTCTGCTAAGCTAACCCAGGATTCTACTTCTACTTCTTTTGAATTCGCCACGTCACCAAGCTTATGTGGGCTGACCAATTAAACCTTTCCATGTGGCATATTAGTATAGATGAACCCAATAACCTGTCTACACCTAGCCCCAGCCGAGTTTTCATTATTTGAATTGTTGACCCAGTCAACATTAAAATAGCTAGCAAGCCCATAACTCGGTTAAAATTTGACAATATTCAATCAAGTACATATTTTTTAAATTTTTTTGTTTAAAATAATGTTATTTTTATTTTTTAAAATCTAAAATAATATAATTTAAATTAAAAACTAATACACCTTTGCCCGCAGAGGGTCCGATCCTGGAACATATTTATAAGCATGTGTTTAAAAATGTAGTTGTAATATTTTTTAAAATATTTTTTATTTTTAAATTAATGTATTAAAAAAATTTTAAAAAATTAAATAATTATTAATTTTTAAAAAAATTAAATTCTTCTTAGAACGATCCCATTTTTAAGGCAGCTTAGTGATGACTTGGCTTTAAAAAGTTGAAAGTAAAGGTCTTTCCCACCGCCACCAAAAACTATTTTAATGTTGATGTTATTATAAGACTTTGTAAGAATAGTTTCTCCAATACAATTAATATTTGAGATAAAAGAATGTCAATGCTAATTAATATTTCAAAATAATATGATCAGGGAGAGCCAAATCACATTTGATTGTTTATTAAATACTTTTTTATATAATTATTTATTTATTATTATTATTATTATTAAATTAAAAATAAAAATTTTAGGAGAGAAGTTAAATATTATTATTAGGTTTTATGTTATAACTAGATTTAATGTTCCTGGTTTGATATTATAGTCAAATCTAATATTTTAAATTTTAAATTTTTATAATGTTTTTATTAAAATAATAGATAAACCGACAACAAATATCACCCAACCACCCTCGCTATTGCTACAACTACTTGGATGTTAATTTCTATGCAGCGATGAAAAGGATTTATTTTTAATTTTGTTTTTTATGTATCGTACGTGGGGGTTGTAGGATTGCAGTCGGTTTGCCATTCTTGAAAGAGGACAATAATAGTAATTGATTAATCACCAACTAATGTGGCCCGAACTTTGATGTGGACAGGAACTTTTTTTCTAGTAAAAAAATAAAAATAAAAAGTATAAATATGCAAGACTTTATAATGCATTTTATTACACCAAAAAAATTATAATTATAAACTGAAAATATTATATATATATATATATATAAATTAAAAGTCAGTTATAATAAATGTAAAAATAGTTATTGATAATAAGTAAAGATTAAATTAAAAAAATAGTTATTGATAATAAGTAAAGATTAAATTAAAAAATTAAGAGATATATATGGTTTTGAAACATGGACAATAAACCTGATTATGTTGAATAATTTAGTTTGTTTTTTAAAATTAATTTTTTAATTGAATCGGGCAATCATAAAAAATTACATTAAATCTTATATATGTATATTTAATTAATTATAAATAAGCATAAATATGTAAATATTTATAATACATTTTATTACACCCAAAAATTATAATTATAAACTACAAATCTTATATATACATATATATAATTAAAAAAACTAAAAAAAAATTATAATACATGTAAAAATAGTTATTGATAATAAGTAAAGATTAAATTAAAATATATATATGGTCTGTAACATAAATAATGAATACGATTATGTTGAATAACTTAGTTTGTTTTTTAGAATCAATTTTTTTTAATTGAAGCGGACAATCATAAAAAATTACTTTAAAAAATGGATGAATTAATCTCTCTCTTTTTTTACACTAAAAAAACATACAAGTATCGTTAATATGTTTTCAAAAACAAATAATTATGAATTTAAAATCTAATACATTAAACAATATTTTTTATAAAAATATTAAAATAAAAATATATTATATCAACTTAGATAAACCCTATTAAATTAATTAAATAAAGGGCTATAAAAACAAAAACAAAAAAAAGACTGAGGCTGGCCATTAGCCCAAAAAATGGGGTTCAGTCGAAGCTTCTCAGAAAAGTAAAGAAGTGTTGCATTTGATATGTTATTATCTAGTCTAATCTTATTTGAGATAACAATATCTTCAATTTAATTAGTCTTTTATACCATGAAAGTAGTCGACTTCTCTTTTGATTAAAAATAAATTATCTTGTTTGACTGAAATCTATGAATCGGTAAGAATTTTACTTTTTTATGTGATATTTACATTATATAGAGTATTTAAAGATATATAAAAACACATTTATCTAATTGCAAGGCAACCACTCTCTTGGATAATTAGCTTGTCCTCTTTGGTTCCATCTGGGGCAGAAATTATCATAATTAGGGCATTGAATATTGCCACACCATCAAAGTCACAAGACGTTAAAGCTACGACATAAACACAAGTAATTATGTCATTGTGGCGTGTGGGAAAATCAGGGCAAACCACATTGGATTTTATACATAAATTGATGAGATTCATATGACTAATTGGTTTGGTTTTATGCAAGTTCATGCACCAAAATGCTGGGGAACAAGCTGGGGATGCTTGAGTTGTATTGATTACTCTAGCTAAGGCCAAAACTAGCTCTATGATCGTTAACAAATGGGAAAAAAGAAGAGGAAAATCATACTATATAAATAGCTATTATTCACTCTTGCTAGCATCGATCTTTTATGGGTTGGTAAAAAGACATTGTCACAAGTTTGCGGGGATGTGAAGTTTACTCCAAGATGGATTGATCATGGCAATATCAGACAGAAGGCATCTATTTTCACCTTCCCATCAGAGATCCTCAAAAAATATATGGGTGTCCTCTTGTATGAAGTTGAAGGGACAATCTGTTCCCAAGGTCCAAATCAGAACTTTTGACAAAGGGCAATGATTTTTTCTGTCCCTTTTTTTTTTTTTTGCTTGAGAAAGAGAGAGAACAATATTTAGTAGGCGAGGTAGCAGGATGAAGATTAATTTTGATGTAATAAGCACAAAAAAACATGCATGATCATGGTAAATGCTCTATTATTTGATTGAACTTACAAAAATCATGAATGTGTTAGCTGAAAATTGCAATAATATAGCAACTATCAAACACAATGCCATGCAGAGGCAGTGATTAAACACCTATCTTGCCATACTAGAGAAATAGCTTTCCCATCATCTCTTTCAAAAACCTTGAACCCTCCACCACTCTCTCCATCAAATTGAAGAGGACAATAATGGGTTCTAATTTTCAAAAGAAGCTTGGCTTGTATCAAGGACTTGGAGCTAAGTTTCATGCCTGCAAATCCATGACCCTCCATCCTTCCTTTCCATTTTTCCATCTTGTCATATCTTGGACAGTTTGCTTCATCTTTGTCATAGTTGAGCATGCTTTTGATCTCTTTACCAAGATGATTCTTTTCGATGCTTAATCTCTCTGAGCTTTCTAGAGGAAGAAAATCATCTAAAGAATCAAACATGGCTGCAAAATAGTGTAAGGACTCCATGAATCTTGATAGAAAGCTTCTTGGGCTTCTGCTACCTTCTTGCTCCGCCAAGACAACAATGGAGGGGTTAAGTGACCGTATTGATTTTAATGTGTCAGATATCTTCAAAGAATCATTCAAAGTATTCAAATGAAATACTAAATTCACAGCAACTGTTTCATTTTTCTTTTTCCTTAGGTTGATGAGCTTAGACCCCCTTAACAACCCTTGAAACTCAAAGACAAGATTGCGAAACCCTTTCGCAAAGCTGACTAATCTACTCTCAGTTTCTTGCAACTCTTCCACACTTTTTCCGAATCCAGTTACTCGCAGTGAAATTCGGTTGCCACTGCTGGCCTTTTCGGAGAGAGATTGTATCAGAGAAGGCCATTGAAAGCCATATGAGACGTCAAAATCAATAACGTGCAATGCACGGTTGTTATTATCTTCTTCCTTCTCATAGGCCTCAAGGATAGCCTGGTTTGCAGTGAAATGAGCGAGCTGGTAATAAGGAGACACCCTGTAGAGATCTGTGAATGCCAAGAACTCTTCTTCACTTGTTGGTTCCTTCATGATCATGTCGTAGAAGGGAGATTTCTTGGTGAGGAGCCTTGCGGCCAATCCATCAGCAAAATAAGCAACAACCCTTTGCACCGAGTCACCGGTGAAGGAGACACTTTGATATAATTCTGTCAGATTCTCCAACGCTGAGCCTACATTGTTCTCATCAGCTGCTGTGGCAGTTATGAGAAGCAAGTGAATCAAATGAAGCCCTTTGCCAGTTTCTTCAACAGCTGCTTTCTTCTTATGGTCTAGTTTTATCATCTGTTCCCTCATTTGGAGTAGCCGATATATCTTCGCTTCACTACAACCCTCGTAACCATTCATCAAAGGATTGAAAACGTGATCTGCCCTTGATCTCTTTCTCTTCCTTCTCATGTCACCACCACTGGAGTCTGTAACAATTGCTAGGCTAAGATTCAAAAGTTCCTCCTCTTCCTTGTCTTCCATCAATGCAAGAGAGAAATGAAGGAGAGAAATATTGCAAGAAGTACAAAATTTTAGGTCAGGAAAGAGAAGATGATCACAGCTGAGTTTTTATCGAAGAAATGGGACATTGGAATAAATCATGTATATTCCATTGTGTCATTCCATGTAAATAGGACCAAAGACTAGAGAGATAAGAGGTAGAAGGTTTTTTTTTTTTTTTTAATTTGACTTAGCAATGGGCAAGGGGGAGACAGAAGATGAGCATCTTTTTATTCTCAAAGAAACCGGTGCCATAGGTCAAGAAAACATTTCGAAAGTTTTGTGTTTGTCTAAAGGGATGCTTTGAAAATACCATGGGAAATGGAGTTGTTTTTCTGAGGGTCTAATTTGGTAGTTGTTCGGAAGTTGCCATACACGACATCATGAAGTCGACAAAAAAACAGCTGGGAAAATGGGGAATCCAAACCTACCGTTCTCGACGGCTTGTCCTTTCTCTCTTTTTCCTAGATGCCATATGCTAGCGTGGTTAATTTTCTTGCTTAGAATCTTGTCTCAGATTTCTTTTCTTACTGTAGCTTGAAAGGGATGTTGAATTTGGATAATACTTTCCAGCTAGAGAAATTCGCTAAGCTTTCCATGTGCATATATTATGCAGTGGAAACAATCTTAAACTTTAAAAACCAAATGACAAGTTGAGAAATATAAACAAAAACTATCAGAATTAATCATATAAAAGCACATAAAATTTATATAGTTTGGAAATTTAGGCCTATACTACAGTACCGAGTTGATAAAATAAATTTATTATAAAAAAATACAAGATTATAAGATTTCACACAAAATTGTTGTTTCATCTACAATTCTAAAATAACTCGAAACTTACTTTTTCTTTTTTCTTGTTAAGCCAACAAAGTGTATAGAATAAAAACACTCATAAAATAAGTTTTGCTCTAAAATATGACAATTTTAGGTTTTTTTATGAACTAAATATATGGATATTTTTTTCTTACTTAAATTCACAATTTAAGACAGACCCAACAAATTTCTATCTTGATTTAAATTGAGTTAACTTACAAAACTTAAACAACTCTCTAATCGCCTCAACTAAACACCTCTCAAGTACCATACAAACCAATCAAGTTTAAGCAATGTTTGAACTTAATTATGGAGATAGGCTTTGTAAACATATCTATAATATTCTTAATTGTAGTAATTCTGCTTCACTTATACAATATCGTATGACATGATATCTAGAACGAACCAACACCTGATATCAATATGTTAGATTCTTTAATGATACATTTGATTCTTGTCTAGATGAGTAACACTTTTATTATCACAATGCATAATAGTTAACTCATGTGATAAACCAAGATTATTAATCAAACCTCTTAGTTATAAAGTTTCTTTCATATCTCTGTCAATGTCATCTACTAAGCCTCTATTGTAAATAAGGTAACAGTGGATTGAAAAATTACTTTCGAACTAATGACACACCTTGAGAAAGTAAAGATATAACTTGTCAATGATATTTTTTTATTCAAATCATTAGCATACTTTGAATCTACATAACCCTTAACACTCTTTATAATGTTGCTACCTTTATCGTATATCAAACCAATATTTGTACTACTTTTAAGATAACAGAGTATCAATTTCACATTTTGTTAGTGAACTTTACTAGGATTTTCTATAAACCTAATGACCATAATAATAACAGTAAAATGAAACCTAATGACCATAATAATAACAGTAAAATGTTTGAATGAGTGTGGACTATAACATACACGATACTTTCAACTATATTAGCACAAGCAATACCTGACTTGTGCTCTTTATCCTTTTCAATTTCCATAACAAGGTTGAAGATAACCTAAAATTGAATGTAAATGGAGTATTCACTAACATGCAGTCATGCATACCAAAATACTCAGGTACCTTCTTAAGATGATTCCTCTATGACAATTATAACTTACTTATACTTAGATCTCTACCTATCTTCATACCTAAAATCTTATTGTTTACCCTTAAATTCTTCATTTTAAACTCACTACTTAACTGATACTTTAAATTGTTAATCTTAAACATGTTCTTTAAGGCAATCAACATGTCTTCAATATACAATAACAAGTATATAAATAAACCATCTAAGAGCTTTTTGAAGTATATATGCACAACTATCATAGTCATTTTTAATGTAACAATGTATAAACATAAAAGTATCAGACCTTTTATATCATTATCTTGATGACTGCTTTAAGTCATATATCGAATTCTTCAATAAACACATATGGTCTTCATTACCTTGAGAAATGAAACCCTTTTAATTAATGCATATAAATCATCTCCTCCAACTTAGTATATAGAAAAGTTATTTTGACATTTAATTGCTCAAAATCTAAGTCAAATAGAGCAATTATAACAAGTAATACCTTAATAAAATTATGTTTCACAACTAGAGATAACATTTCATTAAAATCAACACATTTTCTTCATGTAAAGCCCTTAATAACTAGGGGTGTTTTAAACCTTGCACTTTTAACCCCTGAGATTTCATCTTGTAGAAATAAATTATTCAAAATTGTTGGTAGAAATTGAATAAAATTAATTGGTTTGTGACATATAAGTTGTTTATTTGTAGGATTAAAAATTTCAAGTAGCTTTTCTTATAGGAGAGGTGTTACTAATTTTTTTTAAATAGAAATTTTTTATTTTTTTCATAAATTTATGTAGATGCCTAGGGGAAAGTCTACTGCAAGTCATGAGGATAAGATCAGTGCTAACTCTTCAAGCAGCGATAATAATAACCAAGAGTCATTAGGTGCCTACCAAGGAGATGCACCTGAGGCACAAGCATCAACTCACAATGTTGCCTCGTTGAGTGCAATGCTGCAATGTCAAGTGAGGGATCCTTCACAATAGGATCCATTCACCCACAAGTATGAGACCTAGTGGAAGGATACCTTTTCAATATAAGTTTGTTTTACTTTCACAACAACATGTTTAATAATTTTTGAAAAAAATAATTTTTTATTAAATTTATAAAATTTCAGGTTTACAAACATTGAAGCTGCGAGAATAATGACATCAACATTTAAATCATTGACGAAAATTCTATTTTTTCAATGGAACTAGGTTTTAAAACATCCTAAATAGAAACCACAAGTCGATATATGGTTTTCAATGTTTAAAGTTAGTATTAACTTAACTTTTTAATTATGTTAATTTGTTTACTTTATTGAAATTACTAAAACATTTTTTTTTAGAAATTTTTACTACAAGAAAAAATTTAAATGGGATAGAGCTGATGATAATATTACAAGAAGGGTTGAAAGAATCACACTATAACTAGGTAATATCAAAATTAGGATAATTTTTTTATTTCAAATATTAAAATTTTATTTGTCATTTACTTATAGTTAATTCATTTGTACCATATAGGTTGTATGATTTTTTATGTGAGACACAAAAAAAATCCAAAAAATATTTGAAAGAAAATGAACTACCAGGCTTAAATGGCGTGACAGTTTGGAAGGATTTCAAGTCGTTATACATCTTGGAGACTATATGGGTGTAATACATTCAGCACGTGACGTCCACACATTTCACCCGATGGTCACAGTTTGGTGCATGGAACGAAAGTGTTCACAATTTCGTTATCACGCACATCAGCAGCTCTATTATGTGTGTGTATGTGTGTGTGTGTGTGTATTTGATTTTTCTACTATTTTAATTATTTTTCTACTTTTTTTAAATATATTTTTAAATAATTAAATATGGTATTACCGATGGAACAAGTCTATCAGTATATTCTAAAGAGTTGAAAAAGAATTATAACAAATTTCATTTCTATTATTAACTCTAACAGAATAAGTCCATTAATAAAGAGAATTAAAAAAAAATTACTGCAAATACAATTGTAACTGTTAACTCACCGATGGAATTACCAATAATATTATGTCGATGATATATAATTTTACTAATGGAATCACATACGGTTCAACTATGTGTGATATGCTACTAAGGGAATTATCAACATAATAAAAAAGGTAATTTTTTTTAGCATGCATATTTTGTCTAGAAAGCCATTATTAAATTTATTAATGATGGACTCATTGATAAACAAAAAATTACCAATGAACTTTTTTATGGATGTTTTCTATTTGTGATCTCTTTAGTAAAATAATCGCAGATGGAATGTTAGCGTAAATATCGACAGAAAATTCCATCAATAAAACTTTTAAATTTAGAAATACATGTTCACCAGACTTGTATTACTTTTAACTTGATTGATTACATAACCCAAATACTTTAAATCTGATATATTTATCAAATTTATTTTATTTTAAAAAAATTTATAAATAAAAATCTTAACCGAAAACTAATTAATTATCATGTTCTTGTCTGTGGTATGCTTGATTGTCGTATATACTTTTCAATTCAAGGTGCGGCTTCTTGTTTCCTTGAGGAATAAATATTTGTTTAGTCTTTGCATTGAAAATTCCGTTTGAATGAGTCTAAGAAAACATTTTTGGATCTCAAAGACATAAAGAAAGATGGAGGATTAATTAATTAGATGCTTAAATTGTAGCCTTCATTGTCATGTATATACAAGACATGGTGGCAGTTAATTATAATAACCCCCCACGAATTAGTTGGTTAATTACTTAATTAACTATAATTAATAAATTTTCCTGGCAAGCCAATCCCCATGACTATCTTCTATGCAAGGTAGCACTAACCCTAGCTGTATATACATGAAGTTGACATATGGCAAGTTTCTGGAGACACTATGCAAAAAAACATGTCTGTTTTGTTACACCTTAAGACTCTGCAGTGAAGGACAGGATCCCTTGGATTTGTGGCGATGTTTTTCTTAAAGGATGGCAGCAGACCTTCGAATTATCCAACATGCAGACCATTTTCCGGACCTGCCGCATTATGAGTGTATTATTAATTATTGAGCACTTGGCTCTGATGAAAAATACTTGATCAGGACCATGATGCTTGTAATTTATTCATGATATGTTTACATACATCATTCACACTTCTGCATATTTATCTAGATGGTATTTAGCTAAATTTAATTTCTAAAAAGTAATCTATGGATTTTTTAAACAGCGGTTGCCGCTTATTTGCTGAAACATGAAAAATATACTCTAGTAATTTTTTGAATAAAATATGAAAAAATAATATAAAAATATTGAAATACCCCTCATAATTATGTTAATTACACACAATACTAATAATTTTAGAGCTAAAAAAACCATATATATATAGTATAACACATGGTATTACAATATACATCTCATCACTACGAGGTTTTTTTTTTTTTTTTGACAATTGATGTTACAATATACATCTGATTACCACAAGTTTTCATTTAATAATGATATTGTTTTAATAATTAAATATTGAATATTTTGTTTTGATAATCTTGCATAAATTTTTTT